AAGCCCCAGGCTCTTAAGTTCTGCCACTTACTAGCCACTTCTAAATGACAGTGTAGAAGATCAATGCCTACAGTATATTGAAAGGTCTTTGAGACCAGGTTATTTGGACTGAGCTGCTAGATAAACAACATTGGTAGAAGCAGATACCCCCCAACAGAGTGAGATTTCACTAAGTGAAGGGAGAGGTAAAAAGACATAAAATCATATATTCAAGCAGGAGGATACCTTAGAAGGTATCTAGTTCCATCCAGTTATTTCTATTCAAAGTCTCAAAGAGGACTATGACATAATTCACAATCTGTTAGGACATAACACCCAATCCCTTCCCACTGAAGTCAGGTCTTTTACACTGCTCCATAACATAGCAGTTACTGAGCCCTGGTGGTATAATGGGTATGTGTTGGGCTGTGAACTTCAAGGCATGCAGTTTGAAACCACCAGCTTCTTTGCAAGATGAAGACAGGGCTTTCCACTTCCACAGCTCAGTCTCTGAAACTCACAGGGGCCTCCTGTCCTATAGGGTCACTAGGAGTTGGCATTGACTTGCTGGGGGTGGGAAGAAGGGAGAGGGAGAGGGTGAGAGAGCGAGGGAGAGAGAACTTGAACATGGTGGCCAGGAGACTTGGCTCCATAGATGTTGGATTCAAATCTTTGCTCTGCTACTTTATAACTTTGTGATCCCCAATGAAGTTAGTAAGCTTCTCACCATACTTGTAAAATTGAAGTTTCTATTTTTGTTGTTGCTAGGTGTGGTTGAGTCAGCCCTCAACTCGCAGTGACACTGTACATAATGGAACAGAAATGCTGCCTGGTCTTGCACCAGCCCCCATGATCCTACTAATATCAAGCCTCAAAAGAATTAAGTTTGATAACATATGAAAATTATAACAGCATAATGTATGCCATAAAATAAATCTGCAATAAATATCAATGCTAATAGCAACAACTTATATAAAGTGCTTTCTATATGCCAACCTCTGTTCCATCCATTCCTTGTTCATGAGCAGTGCTATTGTTTAGGCATCTTCCAGTCTGTTCTGATTCATAGCAACTCTACATAAGACAGAATGCCATATTGCCAGTTTTTGTATCACCTTCATCATCTTTCCTATCTTTGAAGCCACTTTTTTGTAGCCACTGTGTCAATTCGTCTTGTTAAGAATCTTCCTCGCTTTCACTTTATCAAGCAAGATGCTCTTCTCCAGGTACTGTGCCCTCCTGATAACATGACCCAAGTTCATGAAACAAAGTCTCACCACCCTTGCTTCTAAGCAGCATTCTGGCTTTATATCCTCAAAGACAGGCGTGTTTGTTCCTCTAGAAGCCGTGTTACATTCAATATTCTTTGCTAACACTGGACTTCAAAGGCATCTTCTGTCTTCTTTATTCATTGTCCAGCTTTGGAATGCCACATGAGGTGAGTGAACATGCCGTGCTTGGGTCAGATGCTTCACCTTGGTCCTTTCCTTATCAACCCCATGAGGGGAGTACTGTTGTCACGACCAGAAAATCACAATACACAGAAGTTGTGGATCTTGCCGAAGATTCCACAGAGAATGGCAGGACTCAGATTGTACCTGTGCCATCTGTTACAGGAGCCTGTGGTCCTTATCACGATACCATTGTGTAGGGCCTCTCACGATTTAGCATTGCCAATAGTCAGTGCTTCCTATGGACCGGGCACAGCGGCTGTCAGTTAATTGACTCATGGTGTATTCATACTACATTATGACATAGGTTTTATTGTTAGGCTTGCATTAACAATGCAGAAATAGTAAAAGTGGAGGTGGAGGTGGAGGAGGATGAGGTTCCTCAACTAGATGAGATAAAATCAAGAAGAGTCAGAAGTACCAGGCTGCTCCTCTAAATAGATCAGGCCACTTGGCACCTCAAATGGGGAGGAAATGCATACAATAACAACACAGGATGGCTAACAAACTTCTTGAACCACTCCACCGACTTCACATTTTTGCTAAAGAAGAGCCATGCAGTATTGTGGCATGGCTTGGGTCTTTAGACAAATGCCGCCGCTATTACTTACTGTGTGTCTTTTAAGCAAGTCAAGTCCCTTCACTGAGCCTTGGGTTTCCTTCTACTATAAGGAGGATTCCGACTGAAAATGGCCCAGGAGTTCAATCAGTAAGCATTCAACTGCTAACCAAAAAATATGCAGTTCAAACCTACCCAGTGCTCTGTGAGAGGAAAGACCAGGTGATCTGTTCCCAGAAAGGCATGGCCCAGAAAACCTATTGGGCAGTTGTACCCCGGCATGTAGGGTCATATGGCACATATGAGCGAACTTGGACTTGTCAGCACCTGCAAGTATGCCAATGCCAAATGTAGAGTTGCTTTACAAATTAAACAAGATAGATTTTAAGTACCAACAAAGGAAGCTAGCACAGAGTATACTAATTATTTGCTCCTTCATAAAATATAACACCTGATAATCTTAGATGGGGTGGCCTAGGAATGTTGGGAATAAGAACCCAGGTAAATATCAGGACAGTTGAAGAGTAAACCGTAACCAACCCCCTCAGCCCAGAGATGAACACCAGGATATGCTGCTAAAGCAAAGGGGAGCAACATCATTTTTCTCCTGATTTACATCTGGGACAAAGAATGTGGTTGGATATTTGTCCAGATTGCTGTACTGAAAGAACTCCTCCAGCACATATCCATGGATGGCACAGAATGGAAGCCTGGCGATCAAGCACACTGGTGGGCTTCCAGTCCTCAGAAACACTTGCAGATGACATCATGTTCGGGGCCCATTATTATACCGAGAGTGTGACGCAAGGTCGCTTTCCCCAAATCTCAAATTACTGAACAATCTGAGCGGAAAACTTAAGCACTCACTCCTGAAGACTACATTCATCAACCCTCACACAAAATGATTACTTGTTATCTCATTGCTTCCAAAGCCTCCTCTGGCCCATGGTGGGGGAAAGATGTGGCTGTCTTCTTCTGACATGCTTATCGCCTAGGAAACCCAAGGGGACAAATCTACTCTGGCCCATAAGGTCACTGTGAGTAGAAGTCTACTCAATGGCAATGGTTTTTGTGACTTCAGTTCCCCCAGTTCTCTAGTATTATACTTAGTTGGTTAATACCTTGTTCTTTGTCCAGATCTTTGATGTCAGCAAATTATTATTTATGCAATAGAATTATAATTCTAAAAGAATATGTGTTATACTCTGATTGATGGAAAAATACGCTTTTAACTTTCAGGGCAAGACCAATTTTCTAACACTTCAGTTCTATTTGCTCAAATGCATTAGTTATAAAGCACCAATTATGGCTAATAACGGCATTATTTTCACCTCAGTAAGTACTTGGTTTGGTAAAGCTTTAAGGACTTTCAACTATGGCAATCAATTTAGTTAACTACAGGAAATCACTGAATCTGTATAGATTATTACCTTAAGGTCATATTGCTTCCCAGCTTGCATACAGAGGGAATTGTCACTCAAACTACAGGGACTTACTTTCACATATACTTCCTACTAGTTAGCTTTCTAGACACAAAACACACATGGCAGAAGCTGTGTTTGTATCATGTTGCAGTTATCAAAATTTGAGTTCAAATTCTACGGCTTTCATGCCAAGGAAGCTTTCAGATTCTAAAACTTAAACTTGTTCCAAACTATATACAATTACAACCTTATAACAAACATATCGTCCAATCCAGGGGTAGGGAAGCGCATACATTCCAGGACTATTCTGGTAGGAGAGCAAAAGATTCAACCTGCCTTTGTGGACACCGCTATGCGACCACGTCCCTAGCCAGAAACTTGGAACCCAAAGCCATGGACGTAGGGCACCAAGCAAAGCTGCAACCACGGTCTTTCCCAGAGTTCAGTATATATGGGAAATGCTGAGCAAAATGACGATCTAGGGGTGTTCAGTGCAATCATCAGTACATAGTGGAGCTAGAGGAGAACTAAGCGGAGCTTTCCCCCGTCAGAAGAGCCAGAGACAGAGCTCCAGCAGAAGCAAGGGCCTGAGTCCGAGCTTACAAGTGTGACACGTCTGGGCTATTGAGGCCTCGATACCTGTCTCACTCTGAAACGGCACAACTCCACCGTCATAGTTTGGATTTTCACATGAGAAGCTTATTGTTGAGTTAGGGTCACATACCTATATCAAATGGGACTTGTTTTTATTAGCAAATTATTAATGTACTTTTGACACGGAAGCAAATAAAGAACATACTCTCAGGGCTGCAAACTACTGCCTATTTGCTGCCTCTGCCTTTTGAAGTTCAATTGCGGGTATTCTGGCTTTAGAACCGGAACCTCCAAGAAAAACACAAAACAAAAACTAAAGGCCTCAAACCTAAATGTAGAAGTCATTTGGCGAAAATTGTCTTTATATTGGAACTTCACAAAATAAATGCCCAGCCTGTACAGTGGCCTTCAAACACCAAATAGCAAAATATTCTTCACAGATGGATAAACACAAATTCTAGCACAGAAGGGTGAAATTTAAAGCATGCAGCAGCAAAGGCAAATTGCTCTCTGGAAAATCAAGGAGGCTCTCAATGAGCTACCAGGGTGGCTTACCAGGTATACAGAGTATGTTAAAATGCCCCGAGAATCCCCAAAGTCTCATTTTATTCAAAAGTTTCAGCCCCCCAACTCACAAAATCTTTCCCCATCATCACTCAAGTTTGAGAAAATTAAATTTCTTGAATCGATCCTTTCATTATTGACTCAAAATAGTTGTAAGCTACAGAATACAGAAATGCTGATAACCAAGAAGAGGGGAATGATACTAGAGAGCGCAGAGAAGGACATATTTATAAAAGGGCTTAGGAGACTCCCAAACCGTGAGAGTAGATAGAAGGTCAACCCTGCAGTTGATCAGAGCAGACGGGTGTTTGAAGCAAAATGCCAGGTTGAATTCAACTCCCATCACTTTTTTATATTCCTTCCCCTTGCTCCATCTTCCTGGAGTCCTCAAAACAAGAACGAAAGAAACATATGCACAGCTTTACTTACAATTGTGAAGTTCATGACTTTGAGAATCCAGATAGTCATGGCCAAGTTCACCAGTATTAAGATCATCAGGAGAAGGACGAAGAAGTACAGGCATCTCTTCCGCCAGCCATAAATCCCCACTTTGTATACCTGTGGCCCCTCCGAGCTGGGCATGGTGCTCCGGTGGTGTTTGTACTGTTCCTGAGGCATCTGAAATAAACAAGGCGAGAGGGAAGCATCACATTTAAATGCTGAGGGAGGGAGAGAGAGAGAGAGAGAAAACATCAACTGATGAAGAGATATGGCTGGCTGCTGTTTCCACCCTCCCCACAATTCTCAAACTCGGCTTCCCCTGGACACCGATGGTTCCTACAAATGCTGGCTTTAGCCCTCTCCTTCTACACAGCCATCGCTCCGAGGAATGATCGTGCAGCCACATGTGCACAGACAAATGAGCGGAGGAGGCCATTTTCCACCTGACTTTAAGAATACCAACATCTTTGGTAGAGTGCATCTCAAAAAAAACCCCAAAAAACTATCAAAGGCCTGAGGGTGAAAATTTGGAATTTAATTGGGAAAAGAAATCAAACCCATTCCGAAGTTAATTTTGGGGACTCAAAAGCTGTTCTTTATAATTTATTATGAAATAAAATATCAAGATTTGGAATTCAATCATTGTGGATTTTCAGACAGGTAAAAAAAAACAAACCTGAAAACAGTGTCAACCTTCTCTTCCAGAGTTAAAAGGGATCTTGGTGGCCAGATCTTGAGTTTCAATTGTCTGAGATTCTACACTAAGTTGAGAGTGCATGACAGCATGCCTTTCTGGGCAGAGAACTCACTACTGTCTGTGGTGGCGCGAGGGAGAGTTTGGGTAGAAAGTACTATACACAGTGACACATTTTAATTAACCAACATAAAGGGGGACTAAAGTCAAGTAAGAACCGAGCACGTGTTCTTGACGTTTGCTAGATCATAAAGGGAGGGACAAATTAGTTTAACACTGATTTTTATAATTTCTTTAAAATTATAATACCAAGAAAACTTTGGAACAACTGAAAACAATGCTAGAAAACCCATGCCACATAAAAAAGAATGTAACTGAGTACTCCAAAGGACAGCGCCTTGTTGAAAGGAAATTGCAAGAGGGTGGTACCATGTGTTATGACAGAAGGCCTCTGAGAGTAGCATCCCTACTCTGTCACGTTATGTACCATCACGGTCAGCCATCACTTTGGTCTGTTTGGACTAGTGCATGACCTTAATTTGAACATCTTTATTTCATTTGGTTTGTGTGCGGACACAGTGAGTGCTGAACAAATTAGGCGTGCCCCTATTTATTTCCTGTGGTGTTGCTGTGGTTGGTTGGTGCATGAATTTGAATAATAGTTGTATTGATTTGATTTCCTTGTATGCAGATAGACATTATCTTATCACAGACAGCATGGTACTTCAAGAAATATCATTTTGAAGATGAATGCAAGACCATTCCTTTTGGCTGTCATTCTCAGCATTGTAAACCATATGCTTTTCTGATTCAAAAGAGCTAATATAAGTCATTTAAGCTCACTAACATCTAGAATCATTGCATGGTTAAATATGAGGCAGAACAGCTCTCTTGAGGATTAAAAAGACAAAGATGTTACTTAAAGGACTAAGGTGGGCCTGATCCAACTCATGGTATTTTCAATTGCCTCAAATGCATGTGAAAATTTGATGATTAGTAAACAAGACTGAAGAAGAATTGTTGCAATTGAATTATGATGCAGGAGAGAAATACTCAAAATAGACTTTAAGAGAACAAATGAATCTGTCTTGGAAGAAGTAAGACCAGAGTGCTCTTAGAGGCTAGGATGGGAAGATGCTGTCTTACATACTTTAGACATATGGTCTGGAGACCTGTCTCCGATGTAAGCCCTGTCTTCCATCAGGTTTGGCAAAGTAGAGAAGCAGCAAATAAGAGGAAGTCTTCAACGAGATGGGTTGACACAGTGGCTCAACAATGGGTCCAAGCACAGAAATAACTGTGAGGATGGCGCAGAACCGGGCAGTCTTTTGTTCTGTTGTGTATAAGGTTAGAACTGACGCAATGGCACCTCACCACACCACCAATGCCGAGAATCATGATCTTTATGCAATCCATTTCTCAGATTCATATTGGTATATGACAAGGTTCAATTCTTAACTGATGCTTGCAACTGTTTCTTCTCATTTTGAGTCATGCCCTATGTGCAAAAAAAGGCCGTGAATGCTTTATTCACATAGGCTTTACGCAATCCACATTATTGCATTTGGCTCTTTGTTAAGAAAGAAGCTCATCTTCTGGTGCTATCTCTGAGAATGTGCTGCTTCAACTTACTAGATTTTCAGCAAATGAGATGTTTTGATGCTATCCATAGGGCTTTCTGTGGCTACTTCCTCTCCAGTGGATAGCCCGCTCCTTTTTCAGAGTCTGTACTTAGTCTGGAAGCTCTGCTAAAATCGGTTCATGTTGGGGGACCCTGCTGGCATTTGAAATACCAGTGACATAGATTTCAGCATCACAGCAACACATAAGCTACTACACAATGACAAACTGTTAGACAAGTAATGGAATTTCCTTCTTAGTACAAATTAACGTGCTACCAAAATGACCAAACTGACAAGTCTATATTTGTGCCTGAAAATCATATTCTTGGTTATTTGGCTATCTTCTAGGTGGTTCAAGATATGCTTATTTTATGGTTTTTAAATAACCATAAAAATGTACACATACACTTCAAATATCCCCAAAGAATGCGTGTCTGTGAGGAAATCAACAGAATTCTATTTGAAAAGCATACTCATGTAACATGCTCATTGAAGATCGCATGACCTCCATCTCATTGAAAACAAGGCCATGTCTCAAATGCATAAATAAGGAAATAATGATCAACTTTCCTCCCACTACTCTCTCTGCTGCAGCCTGGAGGTGTAAGAAACTCCAAGCCAAATTGTATGGAGCAGCTGTTGCTTTCAGGCTGCTCCCCAGGATGTTAGCAGCCTAATGCCAAACTCTAATACTAACAGGGCTCCTTTAGCAGTGTAATTTTATTACAAGAAATAGCATGTGAAATAGGGAGTAAAAAAATCAGAACGACTCTACTTAAAGTAAGACGGTTGTGCTTGACTGCCCTTGAGGAACTCGACAGAGCCCTTGGCCTCTTCAGATGCACTCATTTGGCTCAGTACCCTTATGCACCTGAGGCCAAGGTCAGAAAGGGGACTGTGTTTCTTTACAAGTCACACAGTGAATTAGGAGCCAAATAACATTAGAACTCAGAGCCTCTGCTGCAGGGTTTGGTCAACATGTCAGTTTGCTGTGAGATCCCTGGATCTCCACTACCTCCCCCCACCCATCTTAAGGAGCCCCTTGAATCAGATGTTCCAGGCTCCAACTCAGTCGTAACAGTAAAATAAGAAATAAGAGTGTAGTGAGAAATTTAGTCCAAACAATTGTAACAGGAAGCCTTTGCTAGCCAAATATAAGATGATGTATACATCTGTTACCAATAATCCTTCAACGGAGGGGATATTTTAGTTATGCTATAATTTCCTAGTCCAACATTAAAACATGCCAAGATGATATTTGAGAGCAGAGGTTAGTCTCTAATTCTTCTTGTTCCTTCCCAGAAAAAGAGAGCAGGAGAGAGAAAGTGATGATGTTGAAGCTAGAGAGCTTTCACTGGCAACTCTCCTTCCAGTGCCTTGGAGGGAGCCCTAGGTACAGACACGAGGAAGTTCATTTTGTAAAACTGAAGCAAGATGTGTTCACTGAAAGTAGCAGACAGTCTATTTTCCTGACTCTAGTTTCCTTTCATGTTGAGTGAGTGGCTTTGGAAAGTAAAGGTTCCCGTAATTTGGGTGCAGTGGAAGCTATTTCTGTGATTTGTAGTCACGCTTGGGTTTTGTTATTGTTGGTTGTCAAGTGTGTGTGTGGGGGCAACTCAAAGCCAAGTACTATAGAACAAAACAAGCCTGGGCCTGTGCGACCGTCACAATCTGTGGTACAGTCGAGGGCATTGTGGCGCTCACGGTGTGTTAGTCGCTCTTGGTCTAGGGGACTTTTACCTGCACAGATCGGACAACAGTCTTTTAGAAAGTCCTAGAGTCTCACTGGCTAGTTCTCAAAAGAAGAGCTCCATGACTTTCTTCCTAGTCTGTCTTAGCCTGGAAATATTCCGAACCTTGTCTACTGCCGGTGCTCCTCTCGATATTTGAAACAGAACCTCAATCAAAAGAGCAACACATTAGTCACCACAGCACAATATTGACAGAAGGATGTTGGCACTTTCATGGAGATGTGCTTTCTTGATAGCTCTCCTGATAGAGAAGTAACTACAACAAATCCTCTTACCACCCACGGTGCCAACACTCCAATTGTGGTGACACAAATGTACAATGTCAAAAGTCATATTGTGAGATCAATATAGCCAATGATTGTGCGCTCCAGAAATATGTGGCTAGCATAGGAGTTAACCGTCATTCTATGAGTGTGATTTTCTTATCATCATATGGGGAATTCAATTCTTTTTGACATGTACTCAAAACAGAAATCCTCTCTTGTTGGGAATATACTCAGTTCATATATGGTTCCAATATTTTCATTTTTTGGAGAGATCACGGACACTAGGATTAATCAGAATTCTTGTGTTTGGAGGGCAGTTACATTATGAGGAACTAAACGTAAACTTGCTTGCTTTATGGATTCAACCATCAGAACAAGCACAGGTAAAACAATGATCTTTCTGTTGCCTTTACAGCTAGTTATAGTACAAAACAGTTGGCATATACAGAAGTCATTGGGGAGAGTAAAGCAAAGGAGTGCATAATGTAGGAAAAAGTATGTCAGAGAGTTCCGAGCTTACCAAATTACTTTTTCATTTTGCACTCGCATCTTCTGAAAATTAGTGGTTTAATTTTACTTTGTCATTCAAAAAAAAAGGTTCTAACTTATTTGCATTCTCAATTTTCAGTTTATTTTCCTTCAAACAGTCATCCTGGTTCATTAAGTTTCAGATGTCAAAAAATCTTGAATCCTCCCACTGTGTTCCTTTCAAGGACCCCGGGTATATACCGAGACCAGGGCAATAGCATCACAGGCATTACTCCAAGGTGAACTTAGAAGGCATGGATATTTCTGTTGCACATACGAAGTTATGCTGGGTGCCTAAGTAAAGCACAAAGCCTAT